GTTGTTTTGTTTTGCTTTGTCAGTTGAGTAGATGAGGGAGTCTTTACCACACCTCAGTCTTCCCATGGCATTCCTCTTCCGCTGTCGTCCTTAATGATGACAGTGGATATTAGGGTTCCCCATTTATGATGATTCATTAAGTGGAAAGGGGAAGAAAATAAACAGAGACAGAAAATTTGCCTTCTTCCTTATTTCTTATTTGATCTGGAGTGACACCTTCATGTTTCTGAATTATGAGAAGTTAAGTCCTTTTAATGAAGGCAGTGTTTTGCTGGCAGCAGCTGTTTTACACACAGGTTGGTAGTGACAGAGTGAAGGATGGGACATCTCCCCAGGGACATCTCTGAATTTCTCTATCCAGCTTTCTCTGGAACCTTCTTGAATTCATAAATGCTGGGGAAATTGTGGGTAGAAAACTGATTAACAGTGCAGGAGCTTAAAATTCTGCCATTTTCCCAATCATTTTTTAAAAATATTTGGGGCTTCTTCAGCATTTCCTGCTCTTGTAAATGTTCCTTCTTGGGACCATGTCGCTGTACTTGCCAGGTAAATAGCTTTCCTCGGTGTTCCTTAAACAACATTTTAGCTCTACTGGGTGTATATAGCCAAAAGACATATCAGGCCTAATGTATAGGGCTGGTATCTCAGCATTGATGCTGGTGATCACCCAGTCCATCTGTAAGCAGCCTTCTCCACCCCTTTAGATACTGTATCTCATGTGGTTCAGCTCATTAACTTACATATAGTCCCACAAAATGGCTCTGTGTAATGTCAAACTGGCTATGCACACCAGGCTAGCTTAGGAATTGGACCCACCTTCCCAATTCTACTTCCTGAATGCTTCGGGAATGTGCCAACGTGCCTGGACTTATATTTTGAACTGTTGTTCACAGACAAGATTACTACAAAGCTGAGGACTTAACAATGATCTGAATAGAAAGTTCCTACCAACAGGAACTTGCATTTCAGTGGCTGCACATTGACTTAGCTTCCATATCTAGTGGGTGGAAATGATGTAGAATGGTCCCCAAACATCTTCCCAAGAGAGAGTAAAGGAGTACAGCAAAACAGACTACCTTGACAACCTGAGAAACGCTAAAAACTTTCTGTGTCATGGTGACTTCCAAGTTGTAACCAATCTCTTGGCTTCAGTGAATTCTACAGTACTCTCATTAGAAATAGCAACCTATGTGTGCACTAATTTATTCCTAGGACACAGATAATGCAACTGGATTTGCAGTGCCATGTCTTTTATGAAGTTTGATAATTCTTTTGTTTTATTAAAAAAGAAATTAAAACATATTGAGCAAATTACTTCAGAGGACAGCATGTTCTTAGGGTTTGTACTACAGCAAATGTCAGGCAAGATTACCAATATAACATGTCAGTTCCTCCTTTGTTGTGTGACTCCCTGCAATACTCATAATCCTTTGCTTTGTGCCATTGAACTGGTCATGTTGAAGTAAGAATAGAATTTCTGCTGGCTTTGATGGCATTGAGTTGATAGCAGAAAGAAAGTCACCCAAAGGTTTCTCATTCTGTTTCAAATAAAGGCTACAAAACAATCAGCCATCAGATAGCATTGTGACATAAGGGTGGGATGTTTCAAAGGCATTGGTGAAATTTACCCCCTTCCCCCCCAGCAAGTAGAGGAACCATCTCACTAGCCCTGTCCATCAATACTCACATCTGACAACCACATTTTGGATTTCTGGAAACTTGGACCACTTGTGTGACCTAGTAGCTGCTTGGAGGTATTTCTTGGTGTAACTTGGGATTGGCATTATCTTGACTAGAAAAAACAAACAACCCCCCATCCCAAAACACATTAAAGAATGAATAAAACAAACCACCCAGAAGAATGCAATTTCCTCTGGCAAATATGTGTGAACAAGGCAAATGTCAGAATGCCAGCCTACTTCAGTTTGAATAGCCTGACCAGACTGAAGCCAAATTGGAAAAGTTTGCTACGCTATTTCTTTCACATGTGAATGCGAAGGAGCTTCCTTACCCAGTCACAGGCTCTGCGGCTTTTCTTGAAGGTCTTAATGGTGGAAACGTAACTCCATAGTTTAAGTATTTAGCAGGATCATGACATCAGAAGTAGAAGCTGCCTCCTTCCTGTTGCATCCTGAATGACACTGACAAGTGGGGAGTTTCATTCGAACTATGTGGTAGATAAAAGTGCTGTCATCCTCACTTCATTCTATGAGAAACAATACAAACTCACTAGTGTTTTCAGTAGTATGTAAGTAGAAATGTCACAGCATCTCTCAGCTAACACATTACATAACTGAGGAAGGAGCTTTTCCAATCATTTGCTTTAAATTTGTAGTGTGGAAAGTTAAGATGAAGGAATTGGAAATCCATGCGATGGCATTTTAGAATTCTGGGAAAGTCAATTCTGGGTACTTAGTGGGCAAGAAGTAAGTAGAAGGCTTCAGTGTTGTGTAATTTATTAATTCTTTCAGGGATCAGTTATGATCCGAGAAGTGTGTGTATCTCTTGAGTTTTTGATTAGTTAGTATCGAGGCCTTTGCTCTGTGTGAAGTGTAGACTGAAAGTTGTGTTATGATTCCTTTGTTCAGTTCAGTCTTTGAAAGACTTCTTAGTCAGTGGTCCAGCTGCTCTCTCCATCTTCACAGCTTCTTATTAAAGTGGGTGCCATGTGAAACCAAAATAAGGTTACAGAGAAGCATTATTAGATGCATAATTGAGGTGATGGCCATTTACGTTTGGGGTAGTTTTGGGTGGAGGGGTCAAAAATCCACTGAAACTATCTGACAAAATTATTGTTTTTTGGAAAACACAAAAACCTGGAGGATACCTTAGAAGATTACACTTCTGTTCTACTGGCTTTATTTAATTTTGCTAAGAAATGTGTGGGTTGACGAGTCTCTGTAGTACCTTGAAACAGAAAAAAAAAAATGTATGGAAAAATGGGAGCAAGCTGTTACTAAGGTGACTGCGCCACCTAGTGTATGAGTTAAGGCTGCCAATTATCGACAGAATTAGCTGTGGTTTGTAAATGTGTGATATTTAAAAAGGCACCTTTTCACACAGGCGCGTGTGTGTGAGCATGAGAGCACACACACACACACAGCGTGAGAGAGATAGACAGAGTGTGTGTGTGTGTGTGTGTGTGTGTGAGTGTGTGTGTGTGTGAGAGAGAGAGAGCCAGTGTCCTTCAATTTCTTTTGTACTCATGAAGTTGTTCCTTCAGTCATAAGAAAACATTAATATTAATGCTTTGCAAAGCTGATGTGTCAGTCACCACTATTCAAATATTTTTCATTCTAGAAATACTTGGAGATGATTGGTAATAGAAACTCCTTTAGGGACTTCTGCATTCTCCCCGTTCAAAATAGAGATCCCAGCACCATGCTGGAAAGTGCCTGTGGTGAGGATGATTTCCAGGAACAGAGCCTGTGGAGTGCAGGAGAATGATGACATGTGTGATGTTCAGCACAGGAATCACACAGTAAAACTTCTGTTTTATGCGGCTCAGGGATGGCATGATTTTAGTTTGCTGTGTGAGGAAGGTTGGATTAGCGACCTCTAGCAAGTCCTCAACGCAGAACTGCCAACTGCCCAACAGCTGCCATGCTCCTAGGGAAAAAAACCTTCCTAAAATGAAGGGCTTCCCCCTCGTTTTTCCTATATGAAGTCACACCTCGCTGTATTTGCAAGAACAGCCTCCACCTCAACCTTTTTAGAAGTAGAATTAAATCCTGAAAATTAACTGGGACTGCTGGCTAGGCATGCACATGTGTCTGAACAAGACATTTGTTATAATAATTCTGTCTTTCTCTGCCAACAATGAGGAGAATAAAGAACGTAAACAAGTAGGGGATACACATTCTGCTGATAGGAGAGATACTTCATTCTCTGGGAAGATTTATGGACATTCTCATTGTTGGCTTAAAGGTAACATCTTTTTTAACTTAGAGGAATCACAGGAAAATGATTTACAATAATTTTCAGAAATTAAAACTCTAGTTTTTATTAATTACCCTGAGATAAGGGTTTAACTGACAAAATAAATAATACAAATAAAGTAAAAAGCCAGCTCTTCCCTTACCACCATTCTTCAGTGGACTCAGCATTTAGCTGAAGAACTTTGAAGGAAAAAATCATAATTTTAAAAGTAATTGCCCTGAGCTACTCATCTACGTCTTTTCAAGTTCAAATGTAACCTCTAGGACTTTGTAGATCATCTTTAAAATGGCCTAGGGAAAGTAAAATAAAAATTATACTCAACCCCAAACCTATTAGTGGATGTTCATGGTGACTTTGCTTATCACCAATACAAAATGGAACTCTTCTAAATGTCCCCTAGGAGTGGTACCCTCTGTGAGGTGAAATAGAACTCATCAGCCCAGTGGTACAAACTGGTGATAACACTCATCAGCACAGTGGATACTAAGCACTTAATGTAGAGTCAACAGCCAGTGTACCATGTGAGTCCATACATGTGCTATTCTTTAAAAGAAGAAATATGAGGATGAAAATTACAGACCAATGTTTGTCTGGGTTTAAGGTGATGAGGGGAAAGTTTCACTACAAAAGGAAACACGAGAATTTGAAGGATGACTGACTGGTCTAGATGTGACTGTCCTGGCTGTCATATGGCTGCTTGGTTTTGTCATAGCTCTCAGAACTGTGTGCTGAAACAGAAGAGTTCTGTTGTGTCACTCAGATGTTACTAAAAACGACACAGTGATCTATTTCCATCTTCATTTTTATATTTTGAAACTGTAACAAATTCACACACACATATACAAACACATAGCAAGTTGCATGTATAAGGGGACACCAAGTAATATTTAATGCATATATACACTATGTGATTATATCCTCTTCACTTTCCATAATAGAAAACATTAAAACTGTCCATTTAATGAAAAAATCATTTTCTCTTTTAAAATAATTTCAAAGTTTTAGCTACACTTTGAAATTCTAAATTATACATATTATTATTTATATTGTTTAAATTCTAGGTGGAAGCTGTATCCACGGATGCTCCGGAATGTTGCTGACATCGACCTGTCAACCAGTGTTTTAGGACAGAGAGTCAGCATGCCAATATGTGTTGGGGCTACTGCCATGCAGTGCATGGCTCATGTGGATGGCGAGCTGGCCACTGTCAGAGGTAGGAAAAGAGGGCTCAACACACAGACACAGAAAATGACCAGTAGCGCCTCACTCCTCTAACAACCTTCCCATGATGCTTTTATTAAAAAATCCTTAGACTTAAAATTAACTTTCAAATTTGTGGTCTAGGGCAAGCCATTCTCTCTGTTCTTGGCTATTGTCAGTGCAAAAGAGGGATCAAAGTAGTAGTTGTTACCTTGGGTTTTTGTTAGGGTCACAGAGTAGTGCTAAGTAGATGTTACTGTTTTATGACTAGTGCTGATTATTTATGATTTATTAAATCTTTCCTGAGCATTCAGAAAACAAAGTTAACCACAAGTCATAGAAGCCAGGCACACACCTTCAATCCCAGGACTCAGGATTAAGAGGTAGACAGATCACTGTTAGTTCAGGGTCACATTGACTACACAAAATTGATTCAGTGCTAAGAGAAACAGCTCACACAAAGATGATCTCAACACTTGGTATTACACACCTTTAATCCCAGAACTAGAGAGGTATGAAAGATAGGAGCAGAGTCTTCAGTATGCTCAGTCTCAGGATTCTCTAGCCATGTTGAGGAGAACATAGCAGTCTGGGATTATAGTCTGAGTTTTGGTGGAGCCAGAATCAACTTTCAGTCTGAGGTAGAGGTAAGAGTTAGTGACTGGTTGCTTTGCTTTGCTGATCTTCAGCTTGAATAACAATATATGTCACCAGGTCTTTTATTTATCATGCTACATAGTACTATCAAAAAGAATAAGATCTGAGAAGTAGCATGGCCAAGGTTTTCAGTCTTTATTAACAGTGGTGGGTTATTGCAAACTTAATGATTTGCATATTGAAAGAACAAACACAGAGGTGGTTCATTCTGTTTTCTTCCATGGTACTGGGACTTGATTCTACTTTATGGGTGGATTTTATTCCTAGTAGAGCGTTTCCCACTGCCTCAGGAAGGGGCGAAGAGGAAAGCAAACATGCTGAAAAGATGTCTCTCACCACGACTAATAGATTAGCTCCCTAGTTCCCTAGCAACACTGACCACGTGAAAGACTACACATAGAGCTCTGCACACACTGCTTTGGGAATGCAGAAGCAAGCGCTGGTGAAGAATTGCAGTTGACATCTTTTGATGCCTAACAGGGCAAGAGATGAAGGCCAAAGAACATGAACTCAAAGCCATTTTAAAGCATCTTAATCCTGAGAAAAAAGAATCCTGTGTATGTACCTTCTTCCTTGAAATAACTCCCACAGGATTCTGCCATGGACATCAAAATTTTGTTTTGACACAAAACGGTTGTTCTATGGAAGCATAGGTCAGAGGCTAGCAGTGTCCTTCATGCTAGAGTCACACGCAGACGAGAAACCTCAGCATGTTCCTAGGTGTTTATTTAAGGTAACCCAGAAACATACAGCCCCAGACATGAGGATTGGATAGGGAAGATTGGGACTGAACTAAAAAAAGTGTAGTAAGGTAGTTCTATTTAGAGTTGGGATAAAAAGCTTCAGGAAACAGGATAAAAGAAAAGTGAAGAGATAGGCATACTAGATAAAAATTTCAGGGCACCAAAATTTCTATGTGTGTCAACATTCCATTTGATACTGTGAATATTTTTGAGGAACTGAAAAATAGTTGAGAAAATCAGAAACTGCAAAAGGCTCATGTCCATTCGATGTAAATAATCCTTGAAGAAGAAAATGATACAAAGACAAAAGAAAATAAGATATTCATAAACAGATGAAAGAGCCAATGAGTAAAAAGATTCCATTTATTATGCAAATGCAATAAATAAAGAGTGTAAGTCATTACCCTATATTTTATTTCTGAATGTATAATTATTTTAAGATGTCTTGTGGGATTATGAAGAAATGTACAGTTTCTAACACAGATGGGGAGGATAGGAAGCAGAGTGATCTAAGAAATAATTTAGCACTTTGTGTCAAAGATTTAAGATGTGAAGTTCATAGAATGCTGTAATTCTGTTTTGAGGCAAAAGATTTTTATAAGGAGTTTTCTGATTTCAATTTTTATTTGGCAGGTGTTGGAAGAACTGACTTATAATTAGAGATGCAATGAAAAAATGTCAAGCATGCCAAAAGAAACAATATTTTGAAAATGATACAGAAAGTGATTATGATCTGTTTCTCTTTTTGTCCCTTTTTAAAATTTACCCCCCACTTTTCTCCCTCTTCATTTCTTGTAAGAATTCATTGTGTAGCTCAGCCTGATTCTACTGCCTCAGTCTACTGGGGCTGTGATTACAGGCATGCTAGCTGTTACATTTTAAACCCTTTAAAAAGCAGCTACAAATGGTAATAAGTCACACATTTCATATTTTTTGTTAGTAGCCAGACCAATGTTAAGTAGACTATATTTGAAGATGAAGATGCCTACTATAATTGACTATTATCTTTTAAGGTGGCTGTGTGGAGGCAATACTTTATATTCTCTGGCTTTTGTCCTGTCCTTATAAACCATTCTTTGGATTTTTGTTCAAGAAGGAAACAATGAAAAATAGATTTAAAAGAGGAGACAAAATCAGAAAATGACTCAGAGGACAGAAACAGAGGGAAGTAAGTAAATGAGTGGGTAGAGCTCTCCTGGTAAGTCTATGGAGTCGGAGAACTGATTTACATACATTACTCGGCATTACCGTCCCATTTGGTAGACAACCAGTTTAAGTTTCAGAGAACTGCTTCCATAGCCAGTAATGACAGTCTGTGCTCTCCACTGAGTCCCTATGGTTCCAAAGTCCATGGTTCTGCTAAGAAAGGGCTGGAATAAAATGAAAATGCTTGTTTAGAAACTGAAGCTACAACCAAAGTAGGACTATTTATTGAACTATTGTGTCCCGTGGCATTAACCAGGAGTTGGTATTAAATGCCCATTAGACTCTTTGCTGTTTTAGATTTATTTACCTTCCAGGCACTTGTCTAAGTTAGCGTAATCTCAGAAAGCCCAGAGAAGAAATGATATTATTAAGCCTATTTTACAAATGAGAAACTGAGGCACATAGAAGATGACTCACTTGCCTAAGGCCATGTTATTTAAGTGACAGGAATTGTTGTTTAAGTGATATGAAATGTATGATTTATTATCATTTGTAGCTGCTTTTTAAAGTGATTAAAGTGTTATTTAAATTGTCCTGATTCCAACAGTTTGTCTCTTGAACAGTGACTCCTAACTACTGTGTGCTGTTTTAAGATGCTCAAAAACCCTTCATTTATAGCTTTAGGTGTGTGCAAAACAGTACTCTGGGACTGTGACAAACACAGTCTACCTTTGAATTAAGTGGAAAAGGCAGAAGGAATAGATCAACACTGTCTTCTGGAATCCAGTGTCTTTGATGAAGTTTCCATCTGAGTAACACCTTTTGAGGTTATAATACAGATGTATAACCGGCAACTCCTGCAAGGACCTCAGCGAGCATCTAGGATGTGCTGTCCTGTTTAATATTTGAATTAATCCTTTAAGTGAATGGTCATCAACTCAGAGCAAAGGCTATTGATCTGTTTGTGAATGTGGGTGTGGTCTGTGGATTTTTCCGTGGTTTGTGCATTTGGGTCTGGGATAATGAGTCTTTGGCAGGAAAAGGAGAGACCCTCAAGCTGATGCTGCAGCTGACTGGGTTATTTGAATTCATTCTTTCTTTCTTTTGTAACTTGAAACTTGGTAATTTGTGTTTGCTCAGAGAAGTCCACTGTGGGGTGGGTGGCTTGGCTCCCTCAGCATAACCCATGGTCACAGCCACTGATGAACAGAAACCCGTTCTCAGTGTTCCAGAACTCACAGTATTTTCTGCTACTGTCACTCACGGAGACCGATTCACAGGTGTCCACCGAAGTTGCTACTCATGAACACTCCCTTCTTTATCTATCTTCCCCAGTCTCTCATTCCCGGCTTCCATTAACTCACTTTGGGATTCATCTGAGCTGTAAGGATTTGTGTTCCTCGGCTTCTGGAGGAATGTAGACTCGGGGAAGGGTGTAGGTAGTTAGCCATAGGAAAGATTAGCAAGAATGGAGCAGGTTTCATGTGCAGATTACTCTCTGGATTGCAGGGAATCGTCACAGAATCAAGAAGCGGTTAATTGATTTACTCCATTCTTCCCAGGAAGAATTGGAAAACCTAAATCTGATCCTTGAGGCGATTGTGAAATGTATTCAGTTTTGGAAGATTTTTTTCACCTCCCTAATTCTCTAGCCCTTAATTTTTTTATGGCATAAGATTTTATTTTTAAAGAATACAATAGCAGTTTATTTGTATTTTTTTCATTTTTAATTTTTATTTAAATTAAGAATAAGCCTGCATTTCCAGGGAAACAGCCTATCTGCAAAGAAAAGGAAGCTGGGATCAAGTTCAAAGGACAGAGGTTAATTTGTAATCTCAGGAGAAAGTGTCCCTGTCAGCCTGCCCAATGATAGTGAATGGGGGTCATTCACATCCATAGGAAATGGTCTGACCTGTGATCTCCGATGTTCTCTTGGCGGTTCTGGATATTGTCAGCATAGTCTCACATCCCTGTGTAATTTCTATGTCTCTTCACAGGATCTGACTCCCAGGCCACTTTTTGCCTTGTCCTGTCACCACTGTGGGCACAAGTTGACAGAAGCTAGACCCATGGATCACATTCTATGTTTTCCCAGTGCTTGATGGCTGTAGAATGAGCTATTTTATTTTTAATTTTGAAATGCAATGATGATATGCATACAGGGTTGCCAGGCAAAACTCAGGGGCCCTTTACATTTTAGTAAACAACTAGTCACTTGATATAAGTGAGAGCTTTATATTCCAGTTCCAGCTGTTGTAGTGTGGGTCATGAAATAAAAGGTAGAAAAGTTGACAGTACCGGGCCATGCCACTCAGTTCACTGTCTCCTCAAGAGTCCTCAATTCCCCAAATCTTCCCCTCCCTTTCTAGGAAGGCACACTCCATTTATATCTTACCATAGTGGAAACCACTTTTTTTTGCACCAAATACTTTTGTGTTACAATTTATGCAGGGATGTCAAAAATTAA